TTTTATCGCGGGAAAATGTCTCATTTTTGAGAAAAAATACAAAAACTGCAATGTAAGAGTATACTAACATGTAAAACCTAAGAATTTGGTTTTTGGTCATCTGAACGCGGGCGGAGCCGCGGGCAATGCTAGTTATGTATATTTTATTGCAATCTAACTCACATCATAATAACGAACTTTGAAAATCTAAGCTAGACAAATCTTTGAATTTCTAATAAATTTAAGGCACGACATAACATTTAAATAAATAATCTTCTGTTCTGCGGGGGATACTATAATCAATTTACTGTCCTCGCTCAATATTTAAGCATCGAGAGAATATTAATGGGTGCAAGTTCGGTCGGTTTGGTCGGCGTGATGACAAAAGCGATTCTGACGATAAATAATCATTGTCTTGGATATTATTCCTCCCCGTGGCTCATATACATAAAGGAACGTGTTAATATTGTGAATATATACAGTACTAGCATTGCCCACGGTTCCGCCCGCGTTCAGATGACCAAAAACCAAATTCTTATGTTTTACATATTAGTATACTCTTCAATGCAGTTTTTGTATTTTTTCTCAGAAATGAGATATTTTTCCGCGGTAAAAAGTATCCTATATGTTGATCCGGATAACCGGCTATCATCATACCAAATTTCATCAAAATCCCTCCAGTGGTTAGTCTGTGATGCGGTAACAGACAGACAGACAGACAGACATAAAATTCTAAAAACTATACATTCGGCGTCTGTATCAATAATAATGTTTATTGCAATAAGATTTCCTAAAAAATATTTAATGTACAGATTCGGCTCAGTTACAATTTTATTATATGTATAGATAACACACCCTTCTAACATTTGCTTTAAACGAAGAAAAGACAAAACTATACAAACTAACATTAAAACCTTAAATATCCGTACTAATATTATAAATGCCAAAGTACCTCTGTCTGTCCGTCTGTTATCTTTTCACACTTAATCTGCTAAACCGATTTAGATGAAATTGGGTATAAAAAAATTGTTTGACACCCTGGGAAGGTCATAGGATATATGTAGCTTTTATCCCGGGATCATCCCTTAAATGGATGAAAAGTGGGGTGAAAGTTTGTATGGGAAATCAAGCATTTCTCATGTAAGGGATTATTTTTTTATTTTTAAAGTACCTTCTTAGCTACTTTTTTATAAGTATGAATATATAGTTTATATATTCCACACTAACCGTTAAAACGTCGTGAGTAAAAACCATAAATCTTTATAATTGTTAATAAATACGTTTTATTATATATAAATATGGAAATTATCAGTAATTACTATCCAATAAATGCGAGTTACTAATACATTATTATCTGAATTATATGTAACGTAGCTTTAGCTTTTGCCTTCTACATCTATTGCAGTTTTTTTTATCTGTGAAGAGTTACATGTTGTCTATACATATAATAAAATTGTAACTAAGTCCAATCTGTACATTAAATATTTTTTTGGAAAATCTTATTGAAATAGGCATTATTATCGATACAGAGTCTGAATCTATCACGAGAAAACCACTGGACAGATTTTGATGAAATTTGGTATGATGGTAGCTGGTAATCTGGATCAACATATAGGATACTTTTTACCGCGGGAAAATATTTCATTTCTGAGAAAAAATACAAAAACTGCATTGTAAGAGTATACTAATATGTAAAACCTAAGAATTTGGTTTTTGCCGCGGGCAATGCTAGTATTATATATGTTTGTTGGTCGCGTATGTGACATTTTGTCTTTTTAGTCTGGAACGAGTGCGTTCGGCGAAGTTAAAAGAAAGTGGTGCGCTGTGCTCCCCGTCGCGCGTCCTCGGCATACCAAAAACGTTCCAACACAATTTCAAATTTTTAAACATCGAATGTTTGTTTTTTTTAAATGCAAACTTCAGTTTATCGGCTTAAGTAAGTTTGTTTAACGTACACAAATATATTGAATATTTAAAAAAAAAGATACATTTTCGTATCGATGTAAGGTCAGCTATTGAAAAATGTCATCCGACGTTAATAAAGCCTTAACGTTCACAACAAATTAATATATTTTTTTAAGATTTTAGCTCGTAAAATTATAATATTTATTGATATAAATTGCATCATAATTTGCAAGATAAACCGTTGCTGAAGCTATAAAAACGCCGATTTAAATTGAAATTGACTGCGCGGGCGGTAATCGCTTGCTACCGAGATACACGTATATTCTAAGAGCCTGGATTATGTGTGATATTATGAACACTCATAAACGTTCATCAATATTCATAAATTGTAAAATTGTTAACTTTCGCTTATAATTGTACGTTAAAACATAATTATTAAAATGATTTTACATACATTTTCATATTAATAACTTAATCAATCTTGGAATCAAGAGCTTTTTAGCAGCATGTTGAAAAATTTACGTTCAATTAAAAAAGTAATTAGCGTTCAGTAAATTTTTAATAGTTTTTATCCGTAACTCTGCCTGCGTGTTAAGTATAGCGGTAACCTATAGGTATGTTATTCCAAGATATGGAGCCTGTAGGTACAGGTAGAGAATTTATTAACAAACACACTTTTTTTATAACTGTTTTTTTATATTTAATGATTTATCTATCAATTTTTTTTCTTATTTTCCTAAATACCTATCCTATTTCACAAGTATAGTTGTTTTTGAAATAAACATAATATTTTAATAATACCTAATCAATATTTATTTTATTACTATATATAATGTCATTCAAATTATTGGAAAATATTTTGCTGGAAGCACACAACAAACCTAGATAAAAAAAACAACATTTTATTGTTGCAAAAATCATTATTTAAAAGGATCGCCGACTCTTAGCCTATAAAGGCCAGAATAATTATGGATAAGTTCTCTTGAGCCTTCGGCGATGTATAAGTATGTGAATTAGTCGGACATTGAAAACATCAAGTAATTTTCCTTGTTTTTATTGTTCCCTCATTTTGTTCGCGGATGAAGCGTAACTAATCATTTATCAAGTTGGTTAAATTATAATGAATTGCATTATTTGACATGTTTAATTTGTATTTAAATGGGGTTTTAGAATTGTAATTTAGTAGATATTTTACTTCGTTAGTATTATTGTTAGGTTTATATGTACGTATATTGTACAATGTGCATTGTGTTAAAGTGTAAGCGTTTTACAATTAGGTATTAATCTATACTATAATAAAACAGTAGAGGTCGAATGTCTGTACATAGCAAAAAAATGCTAAAAACCGAGTCAGGGGGATGTAAGAGGACAAATAGAACAAATCCAGACTTTTTCAAATTTTTTGTTTCTCTGTCTGTTTGTCTGTTTGTACGGGCTAATCCCCGAATCTATTGGACCAATTTAAATGAAATTTTGCATGGTGGTACATTATGTCCCCGGGCAACATCTTAGATACTTTTTATCCCGGAAAATTAAGTAGTTCCCGTGGGATAGTTAAAAAACTATAATAACTGATACAACTTATGCATCTAATTTAGTAAAATTTAACATTCTGATACCTTATATTGCCGGTCAAAAAATAGGTTACTTTTCATCCCGGAAAAATGAACGGTTCCCGTGGGAACTAATATCTCTCTTAGTGTCTCGTTAGTAATAATGAAATTTATAAACAATGAAGAAACAGATTTTTTTACACAATAATTTTTTCTAGAAGAACTAACGAATATTATTTTAAACATAAACATCGTGGGAACATATTCGGAGGTGTCAAAAAGTGTATCTAATGATGCATGCACTCCAATGTTATCGTACAATAATACAACAAGTTAGCGTATCCCGAATCTCATAATATGAAGAATCTTTTCAAACTATTATAGTTTTATTGTTAAATAAACCATAAATCGTTAAAGAATGGTCGCGATCGGACTCAATATGGTCAAGTGTGTTCATGGTTTTATAAAAAATGTATAGATAGGGACAATATTTTTTGAATAAGAGGCGCTAAGAGTCATTTAAATGGTAATCGTTGGGTTTATTCGAATAACGAAAGAATGGCTTTTTTTAATTATCCCATATCTTTCATAAATTTTGTTAATATTACAAGTTAGGGTAAAATAAAATTTTTATATTATAATTAAGAAGTTTTAAAATATTTTAATGGGTAATCTAATTTTTTTTTTTATCGAACACCCATAAATATAGGTACGTAATAACAAATGTACCTACCAAGCGAAAGTATCTATGTTGATATTTTTAATTGTTTATTGAAAAAGTTTTTATAGGTAGATAATACTAATCTGAGATTTACACGAATATTTGACATTTTAAATATAACTAAGGATTTTGTTTATAAGAATATTTTGTCGTAGATTTCACATAGCCTAAAAGAGTCTAGATAAATAAGTTTAATACATATATATACATATATATATATATATATATATATATATATATTACAACGTAAGTTTTGTAAATAACTTGTTGTTTGGATCAGAATTACATTAAAAGAATAAAAAAAATAAAAATAAACGATGGTTAAAAAATACTTTTAGATTAAATACATTATATGACAAATTTTACACCTACTGTTCTGTTGGACATCAATATTTGCATAAAATTGTTTATGCTAATAAGAATGTTTGGACGTCTATATGAACATCGCATGAATGATAGTTCTTCACACATTGCTGCTTGCTTGTTAATTTTTTATTACTTTTAGATAAATATTTCAAAAGACCTTCACAGTATTAAAATGTAAAATCTAGCCACATTATATTGTCCAAAGTTTAAAGTATCTGTTATCACATCTCGCAGGCAACACATAAATATATTTGCAAATTCAATCGGTCTCTCCCTTAATTCTTCTGTCGAATATTTTATCTTTGATATAAGATAAGGCCAAAGCGGTCTCGACACTGGCCGTATCTTCCTCGATATCGACAGTGTGCAAATTAAGAGAACTTCGATTTGATTAAGAATATGTAAGAAGACGATAGAGTACTCACAGTGATTGGGCGCTAACAGCGGCGGTTATCGCTGATTAATGTTTATTTTTACGTATAAATTAGTCGGCTGCGCGGCGTAGACTGCTTGAGTGCAGTAAAAAACAGTAATTTATTAGTGGCGACTTCTCGTGTTGGCACGGGCTTAACGAGTGTGTGGCGTGCGGTGCGGTGGTGAGAAAAAACTGGCTCGCTTGGTACGTAGCTCGAGCAGCAGTGGCCTGAGGAAGAATAACCCCAGGAGTCGATGGGAGCTGCCACCGCTTCCGAACGTCCCCGCGCCCCGCGCCCCGCACGCCCGCCGCCCGCTCGATACAGATCACGCATTCTACGAATACCTTTAGCTACGGCGCTGGCAATCGCCTGCCATCTTTTTCACTCTCTTGCTGTGTTTGGTGCGCTCGAAGACCACGACAGTGCGGGTTGAGGGGGCCTAATGAACGTTTTACACTGAACGACGCTTCCTAAGTTCACCGAGTAAAGGTCACACGGGCTAAGCGAGCTGGACGACGCAGCGTGAGCGTGGAACTCGACCGCGCCGAGGTAGCTGCGCGTGCGCAACACCGGCAGCGCCCACATGACCGGCCGTTTAACTGCGCGCGAGACTCGCGGAGAGCTAGCCGTCCCGCTCTAGCGCGATCGGAGACGCTCCTCTCGCTCGCGCCTTCGACGACGAAAAATGTATCTAGTTCTGTGGAGGCGACGCGGAATGCAGTAGCACTCAAGCTTTTTTTTTTCTTTTAATAAATTTGTGATTGTTTGTCTCGCTTTTGGGGGCGTCGCGGAGCGAGACGATAGATTGCCACCGAGTTACGCCTTCCGCGCGTTCTCGTTATTATGTAGGCCGCGTATTAGAGGCACCGTGTATTGCACGGGCGCATGTATAAAATATAATAATGTAGTAAATACGTCGCTTGTTTGCGGTGAAGCCGGTTATTTATGTGCGCCCGCGGCTACCGCGCTACGCGCCGCCTCTTACGATTTACTTCCCACTCGGCATTCATCAATCATGCCTAAAGGGTTATGTAATGTAACTAACAACAAAAGGTTGAATATACATATATTTAGTTCATAAAAATTTCTGAAATGTATTGATTAGATGATAAATATATTATGTGTAATAAGAAGTTTAATACAAACCGTTTGATTATGTTTCATTTGAAAAAAAACATTTTGAGACGTAATATTTTATACACGTCTTGTTATAGAAGTTTGTTTGTACATACCTAATTATTTTTAAATAATACAAAGCGCTGGGAACAAAAAATCTATGAAAATTAAAAGACCTAATACAAATCGAACATAACGGAACTGCACGCGACGCACATGAAGAATCCAGTTATACGAAATTCAACAAACAAATGAGGATTTTCCTTTTAGAGGTCTCACAAATCTCTTCTTCTATTTAGTACTGTCACAGCTATTACCTTCTAATCAAGCGTAGCCGGCAACAAAACGCGACAATGACCAAAAATATCAAAACATATTACGGGATTTATTGTTAACGAAATTGGAATTCATTATACGGAGCTACGGGAAGCTTATTGACTCATTGTGCTACATTATGGACTGCGAAGTGTCACTGCGCACGAGCTGAGACAATGGTGTCACTCAAACAGCCTATGTTTGCTTACAATGACCAGAAACAATCGAAAACTTTTATGGCAATACAAAAAACATCAGGGCTTTTGTTGACGAAATGAATGGCCACTACGACCACACCGCCTTGACATGCGTTGCTAATTTTCTAATTCAAAAACCGTCGAACGATATAGACGTGGAGTTTAAAATTTATAATTACATTTTAAGGGTTTCGTCTCGCAATAAATAATTTTAACGGCATTCTCCGATGGTTATTTAACGCCAGTTACACGTACCTTCTCTTATTATACGAAATATTCATATTAACATGACAAGCAATCCGAATTCTGAGTCACGTCTGATATACAATTTATAATTCTCTTAGATTACAAAGTAAAAAATATATTCGTGAAGTTCATTCGTTCTTATCGTTCCCCATAAATAAAAACTAGCTGGCTACCGGCACCATAAAAGTGGATTGTATCTTCCCATAGTTCGTCTGTAGACCATATAAGCGTCGCAAGCCGCTGGCGGCTAGCCGATCGTCTTCTAAAAATAATGTTTTGGCTCATCATTAACTCTACAATGCGCTGCGATCGCATCGTGCTTTGTCTTTTTAGTCGGTGACGCAATTCGTACCGAAATGGAACAATAAAATACGGGACCCCATCGCACGATTATAAAACTTAAACTTATAGTTTTAGAGTGGCATTTCTCTTAAACAACGCGTCTGTTGATCCCCGAAAGAATTGTCTGTTGACAACAGAGACATCGATGCTATTCTTTTTTGAATATCGATTGTAAAAAGCATTCTCATGATGCTGTGAGAACTTTCGAGTTGGGTACAGTCGCGACTTAAATTCTTTAGCCTATTCATTTCATTCTGTGCACCGTCTTTGTGTCAATATCTTTGCTGTGGACTCACTAGTTAGCTTTACAAATAATCAATGTTAATTTTGAACGCGATGGTACAATGCAGATCGGTAGAAGCAGAGATTATCAGATACTTTCCCGTCGGCTCAGACGGTATGACAGTCTAAATAGAGTTGAAGCCTTGTACGGACATAATCAGTGACCGTTATTGTATTGTTATCTAAGGATAAGAAGTAAATTGTAAAGAGTTTGTTATATTCGAAGAAATCAATGAAAATCTATTGATTAAAATGTTGTTTTTAATATTTATACATATAAATAAATGCCGACGGCCGATTCGGTTAGATACGTAGCAAATGAAACAAAAAAACGCGACTTTTAAATATCATTTTTTTAAACATTCAAAAATATTATTAGCAGATACTTATCACATAATGAAAATAAATTTGAATTATTACCCAAATATTGCCCAAAAATAAAATATAAAATGTTATTCTCGAGAAATCTCTATCGCATTTATATCAATAAAAAAGAATAAGGAATTTCGATGCAAATATTTTGAATGATTAATACTATTAATCTGCAATCTGCCACTGAATTCCACGATACATTCCTCAGAAGAGGTTCAAAGTAATAACCAGTAAATTATAGCGCGGCGACGCATTTTTAAGTCTACAATAACTTATGATTGCGACGATATCAATTTCAAATAAAATAAATTAATAATATATATTTATTTACTTAATATGTAATTAAAAATATTAAAAAAGCTTTATAAACATAAGAAATAAAAAGATTTGCTTACCCATTTGTATTATTTTGCTATTTACCGCCGAAGAAAAAAAACTACCACTCGAGGCAAGGACCTCGCGTTGAAACTTAAAAATTCTCTAAAACGTATAAATGAGACCGAACAATATCAGCGCTGCGACACAACTGCTTGTAAAAGAAATCAAGAAAGTATGATAGCGATTTTTTTTAGCTTTAAATATGTGAATTTACAGAACCGAATCGATTCGGAGTGATACCAAAAAAGACATCGACACATAACATTCGGCCGCCGAATAATTGTATTTTACAAACGTAGCGAATAATAAATAATTCAATTTTGCGGTCCGGCGATTAAATTACAGCCTTTATCCATTCGGTATGATGCAGGCGACAATAAAAATGCAAATGACATCCAACGATGCTTATTTACGGTGTAGAGACATTGAAACAATCGAGTGTCCGGCTGCTGTCAGCCTTTTTTATTTTATACAAGTTTTTATCTGTGACTTTGTTCAACGTTTTCGATAATTTGTTAATTTAGATTATTATTTTTTGTCAGCCGATTATGTATCTATTCACTTATATTACCGTGGCTTTACTTGTATATAATGTAACTCGAATATTTTGGAAGCTGCAGTGATCATCTGAATGGAGATGAAAGGTCGCACACATTATGATGGTAATTTATTACAAAAACTACTTTATCTCAAAAATTATTTAACACTAAATCACCTGACCAGAAGTCCATTTATTAACATATTACATCTCGAATAGATTTACCAGGGAATATTATATTAGACTGTTTACATCCAAGTATCTTATAAGTTGTAAGCGCGAGAAAACGAAAGTGAATAATGAAAACTATAAACCGAGCCCAGTTTACACAATAAAATAAAAGGGACGACAATGAGCTGGTTCCACACATGCCAGGTTAAATCACGTCTTTTAGAGCCCACTTTTACAATATTCAGTAACCAAAATTTACATATATATTATAAATTTTAAAAAGACAAATCTTGGGTCTTTTTTCTATTATAGATATTAATTATATCAATATATATGACAATAGAGGTAGAACAGGCATATAAAACATTTTTCATTACGCCTACGCACCTCATTATGTGTTTGTTAACCTGTTTTATTATGTATTATATATCATTTGTAGATTACCCTATTTTATATGAGTATATATTAAAATTAATTTAAAATGTTTGTGCGTTGACAGAAATAATTCAAATTTTGCCGTTTGTGTTCTTAATAGGAGATAAAATATGAATGTAAGAAATATATTGTAAGGTCGTGTGTTTGTTTATTTTTTTTATTGTATCGCTATATTATTATTTTGTTACTTACCTATTACTTATTTTAAAAGTGTTTTTTTTTAATTTATAACTCGGTTCATTTGAAAGCGAAACTAATACACAGCGTTTTAATTCCTAATTCTTCAGTTATTTCTTTCTTCTTTAAAATAAGGCTTAATGTCTGTACCCTTGAATCTAATTTAACAAATAAGGTGATATTTCTACATATTTAATAACTTGTTTCAGTTTACAATTTGAACACTAAATATTTTAGTTATTAACATTTCTTCATTATTCTCCATCTCTTATACAACTTTAGTTTCATCTTAACATCTAATTTGCCTTTTTCTTTAAGCTGGAAATTTTCCTTGGTATTTTTTTTATTTACATTATCCTCTAAAGTGAAGGAAAACCCACTGATGTCATCAATGGAAAACATAACTATGATACTTTTAAGCCCAATGCCATGACATATACATATATAAAATGTAGGTTAGGTATCTAAATATGAATCATTAGTTTTTTTCAAGGAAATGTATGAAGCCTTCTTATCTTTTTCTATATCGGTAAAGTACTAAACTTTGGTCGTAGCCTTGCCTTACATATGTCGGCAGTATCATTTTAATAAAGGAATTCTAAAGAGGCCACACCCTTTAGAAGAACTTTGTAAAACCATTAAAATATAAATTATACGATAAGTAAGCAATTACACTTGCTAAAAAGTAGGTACTTGTTAATCTTTATTATACTGTCTATATAAGCTTTATAATGGCAGTGGTAGCCCAGTGGTGACGCGCTCGCTTTGATAACCGAGTGAAGCGGGTTCAAATCCCGGGTCTCGCACCTTTGATATTTTCATGTGCGAATCACTTTCAACATGATTACCACTTGCCTTACGGTGAAGGAAAACATCGTGAGGAAACCTGCATGCCTAAGAAAACCTAGCAAGTTTCCGAAAGACATGTGAAGTCCGCCAATCCGCACTTGGCCAGCGTGGTGGACTATGGCCTGATCCCCCTCATATTGAAAGAAGGTTCGTGCTCAACAGTGGGA